GTACCAAGAGGCCAGGAGAACATAGTACAGATTTGAAATTTGCTTCCTTTCATAGGGCAGCAAGGCATATTAATGGTATGCCTCCAACTAAGATAAAAAGTTAAATTTTCTGCCACCAAACCAAAGTATGAAAGTATGATTTGTTGATTAGTTTACTCCTTGCCTTTGCTTAAAGGAAAGGCAGGCAATAGGAAATGATTCCATAGAGTCTTAAGACCTTCCCAGTTCCAGTGGGCAGCAATGATGATGAGGTAGAAGCTTACAGAAAAATTAGGTCCTTATAAATAATAATAATATTTAACATTTATATAGCACTTACTATGTGCACACAATTATGTCATTTAAGCCTCACAACGATTCTGGAAGGTTATTATTCCCATTTTACAGATGAGGAAACTGAAGCGAACAGAGGTTAAGTGACCTGCCCAGGGTCACACCACTAGTAAATGTCTGAGACCAAATTTTAACTGAGGTTAAAGTGCTCTCTCCACTTCATCATTAAGCTGACAACCTACAGTTTAAATGATTTCTAATTGATCTCTGGCCTTTTTTTTTTCTGCTTGCATTAGCAACTTTTGCACCAACCCAATTCTAGATTCTGGCTATTCCACTCCCACAACACTTTTATTTATCCCAAACAGTCACCAAGTCAAGTCCTGGCTTAAGATAACCTACCTCTCTTGGAGTCAAGGGATACATCCCAAAGCCAATTGTTTAAAGGAAATTGAAGGGAAAATAAAATAGCACCAGCCATTTACATTCAAAAATGTCTTTAAAAATTTCTGGATACTTCTAGATATCTTTGAAGTATTTTTCCCAACAGCCAAAAATTCACTCCTAAGACTGATACCAGGCACCAAAACATGGTAGAGCAATATACTACATCTTAGTCTAGAAATTTCCTAACAAATCTAATAAAGCATGAATTTCAAATACAGTAAAGCCTGATTTAAGTTGATACTGGGAGGTTGTTTGTTATTCAAAGCAACTGATGCCTCAGCTAGATATTGTTCATTAATAAACATATTGAGTAATCCAACTCCAGTTGATTTGAAGTCTGTTTTTCTAGTCCTAGGCATTTTAAATTGATTAAATTTGACTATGTTTCCCTTGTCTTTAGGGGAAAGGGAAAACAAAACCAGCCACAGTAACTCAGTAATAAGGACAGTGAACAGATGCAACTACTTGTGCTCATCATATACTAAAATGATTCCTTCTACTTCTACAGGATCTTATATTATACCTTGATTTAAAAAAAATAATTAAGAACAAGACACTATACCAGGGGTGGGGAACCTGCTGCCTTGAGGGTACATGTGTCCCTCTAAATCCTTAGGTGTGGCCTTTTGACTTAATGTCAAAATTCAAAATACATTCAAGCCCCTTCTCATTCTCTACCAAGAGGAGAAACCACTACAGGCAGGCAAAGTAACTAGTGTGCTCGAGGCCCAAAGGTAACTGGCAGGAGCATCCTCTGTCTCTACCCCAGTAAGGTACAGGTGAAGGGAAAGGCCAATCAAATACGAAGAAAGGATGCAGGTATTCACCATGGGATGTGACTCGATGGGGGTGTGGGGAAACAAAGTCCATGGCAACCTGAACCACCCCTTCTAAAAAGAAAAAAAAAAAACAGAATCCCACCATCTTTCAATGATCCTAAAAAAATAACAAGTAGAGATTATTAACTTTTTAAAATACAAAAACCTAAGAGGTATAGCTATTTTAGCTTTGATCATCCTTCATTAAGGGGCAAATAGTTTATCAGACCCATTCCAATTTAACAGCTGGGTTAAGAAATGAGCCCTATAACTGCTAAGTTTTGATAAGGAAGGGTAGAAGGGAGAAAAGGTGGAAGTGAGTAGAAAAAAATCTTGAAAAAAAATCACAGGAACTGAAGTAATGATGAAAAGAAAGCCAACCAACAACTTGCATTTATAGAGTGCTTAGGGTACTAGGTATGGAGGCAGAGAAAAGCCAGGGTACTTCCCAATTTTAGCTAGGGTTGGCCTCTCTCCTTAATGGAGAAAGAAGAAAGGTTAAGGGAAGTCAAGTAAATGAGTTTCAGTATATGGACAACTGGCTGATTTCTAGGCTATCTTCTTGAAATGTTTTTGTGTACATACAAGTTGATAATATCCATAAAAAATCTCCTATCTGACACTCTTAAATCACTCCTACTGATGAACAAGAATTCAGGAATTGCAACACTGATCTAAAGGAAAGGGACTCACAGAAAAAGAGACTACAAAAATAAGATTAATACCTGATTTTGGAAAAGTCCAGCTAAGTCTAGTGCACCTAACATATTTATTACTTGTTCGATGACTAGGCTAGCTAAATCCAGAGAGGATCATTATCAGGTTAGCTGTAGGGTGGCCAATTTTCCAACCACAAATTCTAGAAGACCCTCTTATTCATTTTGGGAGGGGTTCCATGAACATTGATGGAGGAAAATTGCATTTTTTATGTTCATTAACTTCTAACTCAGGTTACTGCTTACTAATAACCTTTTTTTGTGCTGTGGAACCCTGCAGTGGTCTAGTAAAGCCTTTTCAAATGCATGACATAAAATACACAAGATCATATAGGAAACTACTTATATTAAAATATCCTTATCAAAATATTTTTAAAGACAAGTTCATGGATGTTGGTTAAAAACCCTTGTTCCAACTGAAATTTTGCATTTCTTTTAATTATGAATGTAGGCAACACCATTACTCTGAGGAAGGGTCCATAGGGTTCACCAGACTGCCAAAAGGGTGGAGGAGACAAAAAAGATTAAGTAATAGAGAGGCTGCAATATACATCAATGGCAGGTACTATCACAATGATGAAACTGCAGATACTTGAGATAAGGGCTGAATACAGAAAAAATGAAAGGGCAAGACAGTTTGTCTCTGACGACTCTAGCTGGTGAGACAAGACACTTTGGTTAGTCAATCAACAGCAATGATTAAGACCTTACTTACTATGTGGTATGCACAGTGCTAAGCACTGAGGATACTCAAGGAGCAAAAAATGTGGTCCTGGCCCTCAAGGAGCTCACATTCTAATGGGAAAGGCTGCATATCAATATCTAGGGACATACCAGATGTATGTATGTATACATGTGGGGAAATAAACATTTATTAAGCACTTACTATGTAAGTGTACAGGGACTGTGCTAAGCACCATACATAACTAAGCTGAGTTGGGGGTGGGGGAAGAGGCTGGAAAGGTAGGGAGAGCCAGGTTTGGAAGGGTTGCAAGTGTCAAACAGAACGGAATATCTGATCCTGGAGGTGACAGGAATCCTTTGGAGTTTACTAAGTAGAGAGGTGGCATGGGCCAAGCGACATTTCAAGTGGAGGAAGGATTGGAAAGGGGAGAGTCTTGAGGCAGGAAGACTTGCTACTAGTCCAGGTGAGAGGACATAAGAACCTAAGCTAGGTGGGCACTGTGTGAGGTCGAAGAAGGAGACATATACCAAAGATGTCATGAAGACAGAAACAGTAAGACTTGGCAACAGATTAGGTATGTGGGGTGAGAGTGAGAGAGGAGTAGAGGATGACACAGGGTTGGGGAGCCTGGGTGATAGACAGTTGTTACCTCACAAGGTTGTTGTGAAGATCAAATAAAATGAAATTATAAAGCACTTTGTAAATTTTTTTTTAAGCAAATAGTATGCTTCGATCTGCATACAACTCCATAGTTCTTTCTTTGGATGTGGATAGCATTTTCCATCATGAGGCCTTTGGAGATGTCTTAGATGCTTATATTGCTGGGAAGGGTTAAGTTTATCAATATTAGTCATCACACAACGTGGCTGTTATTGTGTACAACTTTCTCTTGGTTCTGCTCATTTCACTCAGCATCAGACCATACAAGTCTTTCCAGGTTTTTCTGAAGTCTGCCTGTTCATCATTTCTATTAGCCCAACAGTATTCCATTACACTCATATACCACAATTTGTTCAGCCATTCACCAATTGGGCATCCTCTCAATTTCCAATTCTTGGCCACCACAAATAGAGCTGCTATAAATATTGTTGTACATGTGGGTCCTTTTCCCATTTGTATGATCTCTCTGGGATATAGTCCTAGAAGTGCTATTGCTGGGTCAAAGGGAACTTTGTAAATTTTAAAGCACCATAAGAATCTGAAGTAGGACAGCTAGGTGGCACTGTAGACAGAGCGCTAGGCCCGAGTTCAAATTTTGCTTCAGATACTTACTAGTTGTGTGCTCCTGGGCATGTCTGCCTTAGTTTCCTCAACTGTAAAATGGTGATAATAATAGCACCTATCTCCTAGGGTTGTTGTGAGACTCACATGAATTAACACAGGTAAAATGATTTGTAAACCCTTAAAGTGTTATATAAATGCTAGCTAATATTATCCTTATACAAGATTTGACTCTACACCCCAAAACAACCATTGTAAAATGGAACCACTTCTAACATAAAGGCTTCCCTTCTTATTGAATATATTGTATCAAATAGAGCAAGGAATAAACATTGCTACTTGAAATGGATACAACATTACAACTCTGTATCCCTAAGAAAGATTCATTTTTGAAAACAAACAAGATCTGCATATTTGTCTTCATTAAAATGAATAAAGCTGCTAAGGGAAATAACATACCACCAGACTTAAGTATATCTACATCTATTTATTAAACCCTTCACTACATGCGAAGCACCACACTAGGCACTAACAGATACAAAGATGAAAAATCAGTCTCTTCCCTCCAGGAGAGTATAACATAATGGGGGGTTGGGGGGTTTTATACTTACAAATAACAATGGTGCATGACAAAATAGATTGGGGTAAGGACAAAGAGAGATCATACAAAGTGCTATAAGAGAATCAGTGATGAGAGCAACCACTTTCAAGTCCATGCTCAGGGAAGGCTTTGTGGAGGTAGTGCCTGAACTGGGTTTAGAAGGAAGACAAGGATTTTAACAAGCAGAAATATTAACGAATGAAATGAATGAATAAAAAAATCATTTATTAAGTGCTTACTGTGTTCCAGGAAGACGAGGCCGAAGCTCCTGCCTGCAAGAATGCACAGAGATAGGAGAGAAGAAAACAACATCAGGGCACAGTTAGTATTCCAGTTTGGGGGGATTGTAGTGTGGAATAAGGCTGTAAAGGGAGGTTGGAACCTGACTGTACAGGCCTTTAATTGCCAGCCTAAGAAATCTGCATTTTGTTCCCATAGGCATGGGGCCCCGTTGAAGATTTCTGAGCAAGGTAATATCAGACCTGTGCATCAGGAGTACTGGGATGAAGGACTGATTAGAGCAGGGACTGGAGGCAAGGAAGATACTTAGAATGTTATTACAATAATCCAGGATAGAGGCAACAAGAAATTTAATTAAGGTAGTAGCATCGTGAGTAGAAGGAGAGATTACTTTCTGCTGAAGGGATCAGGGAGCTTCATGGAAGAGATGGCACCTGAGGTGGCCCTTGTAGGTAGCAATATGGAAAGGGAAATGGCAAAGATAACCTGAAGGTTTCTAGCTCTAGTGAATGGGATGATAGTGGTACCATTAACAGAATTAACTAGGGAAACTGGGAAGAGGGAAAGGAGGGAAGATTAAGAGCTTAGTTTGGGACATGTTGAATTGGAGGTCATCCGTGTAGGGAGAGCAGGCAGCTGCAAATTCAGGGATGGAGTGAAGGACTAGTAATCAAAGTTATATACTTATATAAATAGGTATATGTATATACACACATATAAATACATATATATGTATATGTATATACACACACACACACATAACATACATTTGTTAGTCATCAGCACAGAGATAAAAACTGAAGATCAGCGTCCAAGGACAGAACTTTGAAGAGAGACCTACAAGGAGACTCAGTAAGATAGGATGGAAAATAAACAGCAGGAAAGCTGTCTACACTAGGTACCTCCACATCCTTTCTTTTCATACTCTTTTGAACCCTCTGCAATCTAGTTTCCAAATTCATCCTTCAACTGAAACTGCTCTTTCCAAAGTTACCAAGGGCAAGTAGGTGGCTCAGTGGACAGAGCGCTGGACCTGGAATCAGGAAGACCCCAATTCAAATCATGCATCAGCTACATGATCCTTGACAAGTCACTTGAGTCAGCCTCACTTTCCTAATTTGTAAAATGGGGGTAACAATAACGTCATCCTTGACTCCTCATTTGGCCCACATATCTAACCTGTTACCCAACTTACTGTTTGCTTGCTATGATGATTTTCCTAAAGTGTAGCTCCACCCATGCCACCTCTCTACTCAGTAAACACCAGTGGATCCCTATCACTTCCAGGAGCAAATATTCAATTCTCAGTTTGCCTACTGTTCTGGGCTTTTTCTACTACTCCCCTCCATATATGCTATAATCCACATTGCTACACTGGCCTACTTCTCTTCCCATCTCCCATCTTTCTACCTTTGTATTGGTTGTTCTCAGAAATGCTCTCCGTTGTCACCGCTGCCTGAACTCCAAGCCTCCTGCTGCAGGAGACCTTTCTCAGTCCCACCAACTGTCAGCGCCTTCCCTCTGAGATGACATTTACAGTAGTGTATGTGCCTAGATACTGTTATGCTGCCTCTTCCATTTGAATATAAGCTCCTTGAGGGCACAGGCCAAGATTTCGGCTCCTTTTCTACAGCTTCCATTTACACAGAGCTTTAAGGTTTGCAAGATTTACATACATTCCCTCACTGAATCCTCACTTCATCCCCATAGGGCAGGTATTATAATTATCTAATTGTTACCACCATTTAACAGAAGCGAAAACTGAGATTCAATGAGATTAAGTGACTTGTCCATGATCATACAGCTAACATCTCAATGCAGCTTTCAAATCAAAGTTTTCTTAATTCTCAGAACCATAATCGTTATGCCATATTGCCTCAAGAACCAGAGGGAAGTTGTTACAGAATGGATCTGTAAGTATAGATTAGCAGGTACAGTTTAAATGAACAATACTGGCGTAAAAACAGACATTGTTTTAATAATAAAAGTGATGCTATACTTTTAGGTTCTTAACACAGAGAAAAAAAATGCTTTGAAGACCAAGAAAAAATTAAAATTTAAGAGGACCTATACAGACTGTACAAAAGATAAAATACTATCTTGGTATTCCGTATGACATTAGAAAAAGAAAAGTTTAACCTGTCAAACAACCTAAGTATTATGAAATTTGCTAACTGAAGTGTCAGAATTGGAACAATCCCTGTGTCTTCTTCAAAGTTGTTTTTCTTTCTTTTTTTGTTTTAAACCAGTGACACAAATTCCTTTGTCTGAAAGTCAGAAATGTTGGTCAAACTTAACAGATTTCAATGTCCAGCTTGGGGCCAGGGGAGTAAGTGAACCAGGAGCACTTACTTTCTGGAAAGATTCTTGTTCCTAACTTCCTTAAACTGCTTAAAAAAAAAAAAACCTTTTAAAGGAGAAGGTTATAAGAGCAATTATCTTGATTTTCTTAAAATGTAGTTTCTAGTTACAAAGTAATAACCTGCTTGCTAAGTGAGTACTGCATCTACAACATCACACAATGAATATTTAAAGTAGCCTGGACTTAAGAGTTATGCTCATGCAGTCAGATATTTATTTTTAGGGCAGTGTACAAACTTAACTGTGGAAAGCAAGAGCTTAAGAACTATGTTGGGAGGGGGGAGTGGAAAGAGTAGAGAACTTAAAATTTCATTAAGGAAAAAGAGGCAGATAAGTGATCCTTTTTGTGTTCCTCGTACTGATTTGGGGGTAAAAATCAATTTAAGAGTCATGAGATTATAATCTCTGCGGGGAGAAAGAGAGGGGCACAACTTGTAATTGAAAAAAAGGAATATTAATCTGAATCACTTATGTATTGGAAAAACAGCTAAGAGGACAAACACTAAAAATGAGTGGCTAACTAATTTATAGGACAAGTTTAAAGCCATTTGGAAACCACTTGTTGCCAGAGCACCTCAGCACTTACTGAACTTCTGAGTCTCCCAAACTTTATGAATAATGACAATAATCACAGGCATAAAAAAGGAACTGTTAAAAGGTTCCCTTACTTTATATAAACCAGACCAAAGTAGAAATCTTTTTTTTTTCTTTTAAGAAATGACTGAGCGATTTACAAGATGGGAGATGATTAAATTTAGGAGAGCTCAATCTGTTATTTTCTAAAAAATAAGAAGTAAAAACCTGAGACTAGGCACTGAACTCTTCCTGAATCTATCTAAAAGGCCTAGTCATTTAGGAAACCTTGCTAAAACCTGGGTTAGATAAATAAAGAACAGAAATGACATTTCCTTTGAAGTACTTAAAAAATCTCTGTGAACTTGCATAAAAGAGGGCTAATTACTAAACAAAATGACATTCAAGCCTCAATAAAACTTTAAAGGAAACTTTACAGGTGGCTGCAAATCTATGGTCAGGAATGTTACTGGAAATGTGGACTGCCTACTACTCTAACACATTTTTCTGAACTTTAAAAAGTTTTCTTATTATTACAAGAGGACAAAGAGGCTTTCAAGTTCTTGGCCTCTGACCCATTCACAAAAGAGTTTTGGAAGCAATTGGGAGGGGAGCGTTTAGGGAAGAGGTGTATGCTTTTTTTAGAGAAACCAGTTCAAACTTGGATAGCTTTTAGTAACTAGCCTGAAATGTAGTGTCCTAAAAGTCTTAATTGTCTTCCTCAACTGCTTTCCAAAGGCTTAACAACTTTTCCTTTATAAGAAAGTGAAGGTGTTGGTGGGTTTTTGTTTGTTTGGTTTTTTCCTTTTTTTTGTCAAGGAGGGGGAGGGGAGGGCGCATGATGAATAATAAAGTAGAAATACATATTCGTCCCGCACACACGTCCTCTACAACCCAGGGCACAAACTTCTCTTTCCCTTAGGAAACGGTGAGGGTAGGGAGTGGGGAGTGGGGGGTGGGGGGGCGGAGAAGGGCTCCTCGGAATAGGGCTGGAGCTCAGATTTCCAGGTGACGAGGGGGATGAGACTTCACCGTTGAAGCAGCAGCTCCAAAATGAAAGGAAAAAGAGAGAGTCACCTCATTCTACCCACAGGAAGAGCCCAGTTAGTTCAACGTCTCCTCCACCACCCCTGGCCCGACCCGGCCCGGCCTGGCCCGCCCCGACTCCCAGGCCCAAGCTCCCACCGAGGGGCTGCCGCAGCCTCCTGCCCGCAGCCCCCAACCTTCCCTTCGCCCCACGGCGGGCGCAGGTGCCCGGAACTGAGGCCCCATTCCACTGCATCCCATCCCCTGCCGTCGTACGCCCCCTCGCTCATGCTGTCCTCCCACCCCCGGCCCTACCTCCCTGCGGGGAGCCCCCGAGACCACCACCCCCCTCCCCCCCCCGGTCCCCTGGGCCGCGTCGGGCCACCCTGGCGGCCTGGGCCTCCTCACCTGCATCCCGGGCACTTGCACGGCCACCGGCGAGTGCGCCATGGCGGGGGCGGGGGCGGCGGCGGCGGCGGCAGCTGCAGCGGCGGCGCGCTCCTCTCGGGCCGGTTTCCCTCGCGGGCCTGCCCTGGCGGCTGCGGCGCCGGCGCCGGCACCGCGGCCTGGGGGGGCGGATGAGCGCGGCGTGTCGCCGGTGGCTGGCCCGGGACAGAGAAGAGGGGAGTGCTGCGCAGGTAAGGGGCGCTGCGCTGCTGCGGGCGCCTCAGCCTCCTCAGCGGCCGAGTCCGCGTGCCCCCGGGACGGCGCACGAGCAGGGGAGCGGGCGAGCTCCCTGCGCAGCCGCCCGGCTGCGCTCTGCGCTGCCTCGGCTGAGTTCGCCTTGGGCCGCCTGGCGCGCGGCACTGCGTGTGCGGCGCGGTGCGGCAGCGCGGGCTCCAGTGATGCCGTCCGCCGGCGCCTCGCCGCTTTTGGCAGGCTGGGAGGCGGCGCCAACGGCGGCTGGCCGGCCCGAGGGGCGGGCGAAGGGCGGGCCAGCGGCGAGCTCAGCCCCTGGCCCTGGCCCGCCGGGACGGAGCGAACGGAACGGAACGGAACGGGGGCTAGACGGGACGGGACAAGACTGGACGGCACGGGACTGAATGTCCCTAGGCTCTTCAGGGCAGCCCCCAGCAAATTGGACCTCGGGGAGGGGGGAAACTCAGGCGGAGGGGTCAGGAGCCTGGAGGGCAGGGGACACGGTGCTGCGGGGTCACCACTAGGGGCAGTATCTTAAGGTGGAGTCGATGATGTGGCAGCCTGATCCGCCGGAGCCTCGAGGGCACACTTGAACCCCGGGTTTAGCGAGCTCAGCCTCCCCCACTTCCAGGCCAGTTGGTAAGGCCCGACTGGAGTGGAAGAATTCTCCCCACTGTGACCTTCCTTTGTTCCCTGTCCGGGCTTTTGGGTGAAGAAGTGCCATGAGGTTGGGTGCTAAGATTACATGGGAAAGGGTCCTTATCTAGCTCGGTTGCCCCTCATTTTAGAGTAGGGTGAAACCGAGGCCTTCGGAGAGTAAGTGACTTGTCAAAGGTTACTCCTTAAGTAGGACAAGATATGGGGTATTCCCTCCAACAGTGCTGATCACAACTGATCTACCCTTGCCCATCTTATGTTACTCTGTTCTATGCCCTCCCATAGGTTCACCACGGGGATTCCACCCCACCTGCATAAGGTGTGCGCCCTTTCTTGCTTTCTCCGTGCCATGTGGCTATACCAGTGAAGCAGGTGAGACCGCCTTGGCTCCCACCACATTGTTCACACATTTTCTGGTCATACTTTGACTCAGTAATATCCCTCATGACACTTCTCTGGTCTAGGGTAGACCATCCCATCATCTTTTCTAGTGTATGCTGAATGGGTCTTTAAAAATAATTTTTTTTAACCATAAAGCAGCTTAGAGTCTTTAAAAGCACTAAACAAATTTCCCAAATGCAATTCAGCCCACTTTTTTCCTCTTCGGCTCAAGTTATTGTCCATCAGCAGCCCCCATAAGGGTATAGGATATATGTGCTAATGGACCAACTTAATGTACAGGCCATCCAACTGCATGTTCTCTGGACAATAAGCATTTTTCCATTTGGTTTATATTCTCCAAACTGTTAGGCTGAGCTCTTTTGAGTGGCCATGGATCTCATTGAAAAAGGCCTCTAATGCTGGGCAATTTTGATGCAATCAGCACAATTTCCCCAGCAAACAGTAGTGTCTAGAGGACCTCACCATCAATAGGTAAGATTATTAGCACAGAGACATAGGCAACACACATAAGCTTAGCTTCTTTCCTCAGACCTTATTCTTACCACCTCAATTCCACACTTGAAAGAAAACAGACATTTTTGAAGATCAATTGAATAAAATTTTCTTTCTCAGCTGACCCTGTGCTCTCAAAAACTATTCCAGCAGAACACGGTAGTAACAAGCCTGAAACTTAAAGCCAAATCCAATAAAGGGCCTATAGTTTAAGTGTGAAGGCGCAGCCTAACTAAAGGTTCATCAAACAAAAGGTTGGGGGCAACTGGGTGGTACAGTGGATAGAGCACCGGCCCTGGATTCAGGAGGACCTGAGTTCAAATGCAGCCTCAGACACATAACACTTACTAGCTGTGTGACCCTGGGCAAGTCACTTAACCCCATTGCCTAGCCAAAAAAAAAAAAAGGTTGACTACACTCAATGATATTTTTGGCCACAGCAATTCATAAAAGTTGTCTGCTAAGATATGGAAGGGTTATCAGAAGGAAGAGGGAGTTCAGATTTTTGGGACACATCAAAGTTCGTAATAGATCACCTGATCACAGATTTATAGCTGAAAGACCTTATTTATGAGTCATGTAGTCAAACTTATTACACAGAGGAGGAAACTCTGGTTCAGAGATGTCAGGTCACTTGTCCAAGGTGGGTGGTTGTTGTCCTTTGTGCTCAAAGAGGACCAAAATGACATCACTATGTTAGGGTCAAGGGACAGTGTGTCTGACTGTGGCTGATCAGACCAATCCGAGCTCGGAATGTTCTACCACAGGTCAGGCACAAACTGGCGGTATGAACATTTGGAGTGGAGATGGCTCTACATTCGTGTATCTCATGTTGCATTTGAGCTACTTCAATTCTGCTTTGCTCATAGAGCACAGCACCTTCTCTGATGTGCGCACGCCATGCTGAGTGGTCCTGTGCCAGTGTTTCCCATGTCACACAATCAATTCCAAAGTTCTTAAGAGAGACCTTGAGAATGTCATTGTATTGCTTCTTCTGACCACCATGTGAACAGTGGCCCTGTGTGAGTTCTTCTTACATAAGAGAGTCTTTTTTGGCATGCATATGTTTTGCCTTTGAACAACCTGGCTAGCCAATTGGAATTGCGCTCTCTGCAGTAGAGTTTGAATGCTTGGCAGTTTAGTTTGAGAAAGGACCTCAATATCTGGTACCTTATCCTGCCAGGTGATCTTCAGAATCTTCCTAAGACAATTCAAATGGAAGCGATTCAGTTTCCTGGCATGGCGCTGGTATACTGTCCAGGTTTCACAGGCATACAACAATGAGGTCAGCACAATGGCTCAGTAGACCTTCATTTGGTAGGCAGTCTAATACCTCTTCTCTCCCACACTGTCCTTTGGAGCCTCCCAAACACTGAGCTAGCTCTGGCAATGCGTGTATCAACTTCATCATCTATGTGTACATCACTGGAAAGTATACTGCCAAGGTAAGTGAACTTATCCACAGTATTCAGAATTTCTTCATTTGCTCTAACTGATGGTTCCACATATGGATGGTGTGGTGCTGGCTGCTGGAGATCCTGTGTTTTCGTGGTGTTAATTGTTAGGCCAAAATTAGCACAAGCAGCAGAAAATCGATTTGTACTCTGTTGCATCTCAGCCTCAGAGACTGCATTGAGTGCACAATCATCTGCAAACAAAAAGGCACGCACCAACTCTCCCTCCCTGCCCAAGGTAAGGTCCTATAGGTAGAGTCAGATCCAGGATTCTAACCTCGGCCCTTTGAGAGAAAATCTAGCTCCCTTTGGTTTCTATATGTATTTAATAAAGGATATGGTTTTCCTTACTCTGTATTAAATTAACCTTGTGATGCTAGGCTCCACACCAATTTACTAACTTGGACAGACTATTCTTTGTGATGTAAATGTTTCTACTTCAACCACCCCTATTCTCATCAAACTTAGATTAGTTTGAATAGTCACCAAGCTAGTCTCCCTGACTCTGGTCTCTCCCACCTCTAATTCATCATTGATCTGAGATTAATCATCCTAAAACATATGCTTTCTAAAAGACCACACTCTTTAGAATTTATAATAGCTTCCCATTACTTACAACAATGTTTCCTAAACTTATGTAGCCACAGCAGCCCATAAATACTAGCCCAGAGGGCCTAAGGACATCAAATAACCCAAAGAGAAAAGGGGGAGGACTTAACAAGGAAATTTTAGAACAAACTAGAAGAACTTGACCTGCAAAAATCATCAAGCATGTTTTTGTTGTATCGTTTAATATTTTAGAGGGGAAATATTTAATAATGTCAGAGTGTACAGAGCTCTCTATTCAGATTGCACAGAACGACAAATGAAGAATCTGAGGCTTAGAAAGATTTGGTTATTTTCTCAAGGTCACAGAGAAGTGGCACAGCTGGAGCTTGAACCCAGGTTTCTGAAGCCCGGGCCTAGTAGCCTATCTACTACATATGAGAAGAATCAGTCTAACTGGATGGTAAGAAAGTAGCATAATAGTACAGTGGGGAAAAGCACTGTGTCTGGAGTGAGAGATGTTGATGTTATTGAGTCATATGTGACTCTTCATGACCCCATTTGGGGTTTTCTTGGTGGCAAACATCCTGGAGTGGTTTGTCATTTCCTTCTCCAGCTCATTTTACAGATGAGGAAACTGAGGCAAACAGGGTGAAGTGCCTTTTCCTGGGGTCACACAGATAATAAGTGTCTGAGGTCACATTTGAACTCAGATCTTCCTGATTCCAGGCCTAGCACTCTATGTGCTGCAGCGCCACCTATCTGCTCTGAAGTGAGGCCCTAGGTTCAAATCCTAGTCCTGTTACTTGCGACACATCACTTCCCTTTTTCTGAACTCGTTATTTATCTATGAAATGAAGACATTGGACTAGATGGCCTCTGCGGGCCCTTCCTTTTTAAAAGCTAGATCTGTATACTTCTTGGCATTCCTAATGGAAGCTAACACAGTGCTGAGCACAGACACATGTTAATTGAGTATTACTGGCTGGTGGTTCTGAATACTTTTGGATTTTTTGATCTTTTCCTATGATTTCAAAAGTGTAGGGCTTTCCCAGTGTAGAAACCCCCCTCCACAAGTAGAATGTAACTTCTAGTCTTAAACAGTTACCAACAAGTCATTGAGAGATTGAGTGACTTTGTCTTGGATGTGCCAAGGAACTCAGGTCTTCCTGCTCCCAGAGCCTATCCTCAATGCCCTGCCTCTTTCTGACTCCTTTGGAACTACATAATGAAATAAAAGTCAAGTTGCCCCA